TACACTATATAATTATAACAGTATAAAAAGGGTTGTCCCTGAAGAAAGCCTGACCTTTTGAGATTTCCTTCCAGATCGCCAATAAAATACAAACACAGCTTACTCTTACAACCAGACTTTTTTCCCCAGCTGCATTTCTTTCTAGAGAAAGAAACCTTCTTGTGCACTGCTTCTGTATCTCTCCCACTCTGGTCTGCAAATAGACAATCTCTTTAACTGAGGACAGATGTGTAAAGAGGAATGCAAAAAATAATATGCATATACTTGAAGCATTTCTTCGTTTGTATAAGGCTTTACCATGAAGCTGTTTGAGGTGGCGCTTCTGTATAAATGTAGCCAAAGCTGCAAGAGGCACACAAAGAGCTCAGTAAAGATGAGTCACATAATCAGTCCGCATATATCCTTTTTTATGAATACTACTTTTTCAGCAGCTCTCTATGATTTCAACTCTTTTCTTTTCTTCAAGCACAGAGTCCCTTATTTTTTACAAATATATAAAAAGCCAACGGACACTGGATAGCTTGAAAAATATCTTGACTCCATGTTCATTTGATTATCAGCTGAAATTTAGTGTATGATCATGATTAGTTGTCTTAATGTAATTAAGCTATGGATTTTCCTTGAAAAAAGAATCCATGTAAATGCATCATTAGACTAAATACCCACAAGAGAACCAGCAACTTCAGGTTGAATATGACTTCTTATTGAATTGTAATTATATGCAGATGCGTTCTGCTTTCTAACTGCTACATGGATTAACTAATTCCCTGTCATTGTCATAACTGCCAGCCTATGAGAGTATGAGACAGGTAATTAAGAGTGTGGTGGAGCGTCAGGGGAGGAAGTTCGTGCACCTCATAATTCTTCATTATCTTCACAACGCAGATTCTCTCCCTAAAGTCATGTCCTTTCTTCATTTAAGCATCCCTATTTTTTTTTTTACCCTCAACTGAAGTTCAGCTTGCAATCATACACACATGCTTTCAAGAAAAATTACCTGAGTTAATGTGGCATTTGTTTCCGAACTAACATGACTGTGATCTTTCCATAACCTTTACTATGGCTACAGTACAGTGTATTGAGATGGTGTTAAGACCTTTGCTTTTTTCCCATGTTGTTGATTTACAGTGTTATGAAAAAAATATGATTGTTCTTCCCTCTCATCAGTCAACAATCAATTTCCTTCAGTGACAAAGTGAAAAAGAAATGTATTAATCAGGAAAAACTGAAATATAACATATGCAGGATATTTAGAACACAAAATTCACACAAGTATCTTTCTTGAATCACAACACTGAATTAAGAACTGATGTTTAATCTATTAGTCAGGCTACACTAAGCTGGTTTAATGAAGACTCGTGGGTAACGTAATTAGCATAAGCAAGTGAAGCTAGTTTGTTCAAACATAGATTTTTCAAATAATTAATAAAACATGATAATGTAAAACATGGACAGATGACAACTGCTAACAGCTAATGGACAGCTGATTTGTTGTATGGAAGCTTAAAGTTTACACCAACTACACAAAGACTTTAATGACATTTAAGTTGTTTTAATTGCATGAACTTTTCCCTCACAGTTTTCAATGTGTTCACAAAACTCATATGTATTGTTTTTGAAATGCTCGGACGGACCTCAACATTTTGCACTTTGGCAGCGGGTGGCCTTGAAAGACCATTCATTTGATACATTGCCAGTTTATGTACAAGACAAATCACCAAATGGGATTTCTATGTCCCTATTTGGCAAAAAGTTAAATATTACAGAGTGTAAGGAAGCCGAACAGTCGACATTTAGCTGTACTTTCTAAATAAACCATACCAGTGCAAAAAGCTGCAGTATTACTTCCTAATCCTGTTCTGTATCTTGCTTGAATGTGTTTTGGACAGACATACTGGTGCAGCACTTGGGAGGTTTAGCAACTTACATTCAAACTCTGTCCATCACCCCTCTTCCTATTTCTGTCATATTTCCCCTCCCACTCCCCTTCTCTGTTCCTTTGCTGCTATTCCCCTCCTGCCTTCTCCTTTTTCATGTTTCCTCTCTCAACCCGTGTCTATCACTTTCCCCTTCCCTCGATCTCTCCCTCCCTCTTGCACTCCTCTCTCCCTTCTTTTTCCCTTTGAAGTACTAAACAATGAGAGGGCTACACTCCCTGTTAAGCTCATAGGGAAATCTGGGCTCGAACTGCATGGCACAGTGCAGCGCAGCAGAATCTTGTCCCTGCGACCACAGGGGAATGGGAAGTATAAAAAAGTATAGTCAGCATGCGGTGACGATGACAATAGGCACAGAGACTTGATCCTCCAAGCCATCATCCAACTACATCAGCACGGCTGATGACTGCTCTGACTTATTTCCAGAGAACGTGCTGATCTGCCTGTGTCGCTTTGATTGTTGAATCTTTGACAACTGTCCTTTTCTTGACAGCCTATCAGGGTGTTCTTATGAAGGCCAAAAGATGTGCATGTCACAACCCTATTGACTGGAATGATTGAGTGAAAGCGTTTCATTAGTCCAGGGTGTCAGCGCAGAGGTGAGAGACAGTCACTCATCCTTCTATTGTCTTTCCCATCCTGTCTTTTTCCCTAACATGCAGACACATCCATGCAGTGATGAATGCTATTCATAACTGAAGGATGGAACAGGAAATGAAGCAAAATGTGTCTGGGGGAATATAGTATCGTCTGCTGAGGCATGTGTTTATCCACTCCTACGTATCCTTAAGCGATATCTCACACTTACATTATGCTGAATGCACCTCATTCTAAAATCTGATATGGCCCATCTCCTCTACAATTTCCTCTTTTTCCATCTCTGTCTGTCTTGTGCACTCATGTTCATACATGCTGATGTCAAAACTGCATGGTGGTCTCTTTTATGTGGTCCTTGATGGTGTCAATCTGTCTCAGAAGCAGCTCTATAATTCATGCTCTATCAGATCTTTAATGTAAGCAAATGTCTTTCTCCAGGAATTTGTAATGATAACTTGACATTTAACATTTCTTTTCACGACTGAAACTTTTTCAGGATTTTGTGTCAAAATAGCAAATGCATCACATTAGCTTTTTTTCCTACCCATTAATATACCTGCAGTGGCGTTTCGTCTAATGGCTGTTTAATATGTTTGATTACTTTAATGAGGTGAACGAGTCTTTCTTCATGCTGACAGAATTACTTGAATTCTTTAGCTCTCTGCAGGTTAAATCACTCCATTAGAGCCCATGCTGAAAATGATCTGATGAGGGTTTGAGAGAACTGTGTCATAGTACAGGTCACATGGATGCACTTATTGGAGTATTGTTTAAAATAACATTGAACTTTTACTCACATTTGGAAGACATCACGATTATTTTTAGCCTAGGTCTAATAAAGGATGGCACACATATGTGCTTATTATATTTCATATACATACACATTGCCTTTTCCCATTTTCCCATCAATGTTTTTGAAATGTCTGTGTAACAAACTCCTTTATAGGTAGATAAGGTGTTTTATTTGATTTCCAGAAGACAATACATTTGTGGTTTTAAGATGCAACCAACCACTTCCTTTCTCAAGCTTCTCTATGGAGCTCTAGTAGAAAAGGGCATTTTGTGTCAGTCTCTGAGCCTCTCTTCTTTTTTGAGTGACACGTGGTCCATCCGGCCAACCACTTATTGTGTCCTACTGCAGCTTGGTAAAACTCACTGTCAGAAATGAACTAAGCCAAACACACGTTCAAATTCAGAATAAATGCTCCAGTATTTCAGGAAAGAATACAACTATGTCCACTGGTCTCTAATATTAGTTTCCTTGGAGACACTGTGCCATGATATATTGGCTTCCTGACACTTAACAATTGTGCAGTGTTAAATCAATATACTTCTGTCATGTACGTCGCCAGGTCAGCGACAGAATGAACGGCTGGAGTTTATAAAGCTAAACCTACCACAAAAAAAAAGGTGGATTGTGGGTGGGCTGTGAAGACAGTGACTCTAGCTGTGACAAAGCAAACAACTGGCAAGCTGCAGGAGGAAAGCCTTTTATAAACATAGGGATTTTAGATGCTGGGCAGTTTCCAGTAGTTGTTGGTATAGAAGTAAACACAGCTCCAACATGTCAACTGCCCCCAAAGCCACAGTTTAATATTTAATCAGTGTTAATTATGTGGTATTATTGTTTAAAGGTTTATGGGTTATGTGTTCATGAAGCTAAACTAACTGGTTCTCCTGATTCAGTTTTTGTTCTATGGGCTAAACAGTATAATGTTGACAAAAGTGTTGAATTTTATGCCCCGTTCATGCAGGTCAACATCAAGGTTATCACGCCCAAAGACAGAGCAATTTTTGCAGGCTGTTAATTAATGTGTCTAACTTCACTGTATACATCAGAAAACAAACACCTGAAAATAACAATGCAAAGTCATTTCTATTCAGACGAGTTGATGATATGCATGTCGGAGCTGTATGCCCTCTAATATACTGATAAGCACTCTCAGGTTGGTGTTTACCAGTGTGCTGCAACAGTTATGGGTTCATGGCTCAGTTATTCAAAACTGAAGACTCTTTACAAATTCAGGTCAGGCACAGTGCAGCAAATGTTATCTGATTGTGTAGCGAGGAACTCACAACGGCTTTGGCTCACTGTGTCCAACGTACTCTACATAAAAAATGCTCAGCTTTGGTTCTGGAAAGTCTAACCTAGCAAAAGTGATAATTATCATAAAGGTCAGAAATCCATCACCCACGATCCTTGTACAGAACAAGGCCGCTCTCCATCTTTGAGCAAGACAAACTCGGTTGTTTGTCGAGCAGCTAGTGTTCGCTCCCCTTACCAGTATGATGAAGACTGACAGGACACGAGGGAGAATGAGGGGAGATGATCTAAAAATGTGATTAAGAATTACACTCAGTATACACCAATAAGTGAGTACATGATTAAACTAGAGTTGACTCACTGACTTGTGTTTGCATGTCCATGTTATGCACTGAGGATCTAACGCTCTCCTTCTTCTTCAGGTCTGTGTGAATTCGGCTGAAGGGCAGGATGCGGTGTGATCGCAGGAACTCAAATCAGGTATTTGTTTTCTTAAATCTTGATCCTTTTGGTTTGTTTTTGCAACCTGTAAAATATTCACCAGCTGGGTTTCTGTTGCATGCATGCACATGTGCATTCGTGTATTTTGCATGATCTAGTCTGCCACGGTCAAGAGCAGTTCTTGCTGTTATTTTCACTCTTGTGGATGAGAGTTGGACGTCTCTGAGACATACCGAGTCAGACAGAATGGACCTTTGAGGTTTTTAAAGCATTGCTATGTTTTATTGATGTCCCTGACGTTTGCTGATGCTTTCTGTAAGATGCAAATCTCTTGCATTCATAAAACTGCTTGTCCAGGGTCTAGCTGATAAATATTTAAGAGGTGTTGATCATTCCTTAAACAGTCACTGTCCAAGACCCAAATAGTTTTGTCTTCTTGGTGTAATTTAACCGTTTTAGGGATTATTAAGGGTCACGGTAGGACAGAAAATCATGAAAAGACTCTTAAACTAATTTACAGCAACAGACGTGAGCTGCAGTGACTCATCCACACAGCCCAGCACCAAAATAAGATGAGAGTGGCTAAGAGCTACATGGACCTGCAGTCTATGGAGATAATGTCCAGTAGAATTAACGGTGATGGCCACATCACAGGAATTTTGTCATTGTCAAAAATAATGCCAAATACAGCTGTATGCGTCTCTTTGAATTGACAAGCCCTTGACCTACAAATGATGCACACAGATTCTCAGTCGACGTTCTGAGTGACAGTTCCAGACTTAGTGTGTGAAATGAGAAACAAGGAGGAAAGAGAAGATGGGATTGAAGAGGCAGTGGTGCAGGAAGTGTGGCATGTACCACTACACACTTGTGTGTGTGTGTGTGTGTGTGTGTGTGTGTCTGTGTGTAGACATAGATGATGGGGTTCAGGTGCCTATACTCGTACTGTAGATGGCATATTCATTCAAACATGCTGACTGATATTTGGAGCTTCGACAGGGCTTCAGATTACAGATTAGACATGCATGGAAACGGTATAAAAGTATAAGTAATTTAAATCACAGCTGAGGTTTTTCTCGGTGGCTTAAGCTCAGTGGTCTTAATCTGAGGACTCTCTCCCTGAACTACATTATAGAATAGACGAGGAAGATACCATTTATTTCAGAGCGACAGCTGAAGCAGAGACACTGGCTTCATCCTGTTCATCTTGTTCCTAATCACATTTGTCATTGTTGTCTTTCCACACAGCCCCTGCCTCTTCATGGGATTTGTATCCGAATGGAAGAGAAAGCAAAGCGTGCCTCTGAGAGACAATCCAATTCAGCGCTATTCTACTGCTTTACTATAACACTAATATAATCTCCCTTCTCATTCAAGCCCTGAACGCATCTCCCTGACAAAACAGTGATGAGCGCACAGTTTCCGCTGCCTCGCATTCCCTTAATGGGATGTTCAGAAACCAGTGGCATGTTTATGGCTGTTGTCTCAGCTTTGGAAAGGGGCTCTCTCTCTCTCTCTCTCTCTCTCTCTCTCTCTCTCTCTCTCTCTCTCTCTCTCTCTCTCTCTGTGTGTGTGTGTTGACCTGCAGTTCACCTGGACGTCAATTTGAACAGGTTCAGGGAACATATGACTCAAGTGGCGTAGAGAGCACACAGCAGGAAGAAATTATTCATGACGCCTTTGTGTTGGTGCATGTGTTTGTTTCAGAAATGTCTCTCAGTGCTCAGGGAGTGTTCCAGCTCAGGTTTTATTCTGTGTTCCTCGTACATGTCACCGTGAAGCAGTGTTGTATCTAACATTTAAATTGTTATGACAGTTGTTCTGTCACCTATATAGGAAGCTCATGTAAACACAGAGAAGGCCTAAAGAAGATCTAGTATTGCTCAGGCTCCAAAGTACCACTTTAACGCTGGTCTCACCTGATTGGTCGGTGACAAAAATGAAAAGTAGGAAGTACAGTATTCGATAAGTAGTAAAATGGAGCTCTCGCCACACAACTATGATTAGGGCCAAATTCTAATGCAGTCCATTTGCTGCTGCTCTGACAGCTGTCTGTCTCCAGTCTTCAGCCTCCAGTGGATTCTAGAGGTTGCCGCTGTCGAGTTTTTTGAAATATAAGCCCACTTCACCACCTTCGATTCCAATCTCTGCCACATAACCTCTGTCTGATGTCTGTGTGAAAGGTGTTTATAAACGTCTGAAATTGCATATTATTCATCGCACACATTCAAACTCAGGAAATGTGCACGGAAATGAACCTGCAGCTGCCGTACTGGCTGTTTGCAGGTGGAAATGATAGAATGATTTTATAGATGAGGTGTGTGCTTCTGAGAGGCACAGCTATTATGCTGGGGGACATAAAAAATGGCCCAAATAATGTCGGGAGAGTGAACAATGTAAGTCAAGCACATTTGTCTGAATTCAGTTAATCTTTTCTTTTGATTTGTCTGGGGCCATTTCACAAGACATTTTTTTTTCTGTGTGTTTTATATGAACAGTAATAGTGAGTCAGATGTTGCTGTGATGATACAGAGCACCCTGGTCAAGGGCATGTTTCAGTGGAGGTTTTATAGGTTTTGTTCTCTATCTCATCATTTTCTGTACCAGCTGTTACTTCTTTATCTCAGCCCCATCTCAGTGTTGTCTCCCCGTAGCATCTACGCCCTTTATCTCCTGCATCTTATCGGTGGTGCCAGATACAAGCGATGGCAATCCAAACCAGAGGGAGAGATAAAGGGGGGACAGCGCTCGCAGAATTAGAGAGAGGGGGAGAAATGAAGAATAATTGGTGTAAAAGAGTTTAAAGAGGTTTCTGTTGATGCCATTAAGCTCTGTAAATTTATTTTAAAAAAAGGTTTGTTTATGTTTTTGCAGTATGGGTCAGGGAAGAGCCCATTACATTTTGTTGCTGATCCAGATCCTGGAGTGGATACATGGATTTTGATGAATGAAAATCAGGCATTTTTGGGGGGACTGATATCTGTGTAGTGTGACTGAATTTAAGGTGTGTTGGGCCTCGGCTGAGGTATCAACAGGTTTATGCAAAAGCTACTAAACTGATTTTAACTAAGCATGGTGGAAGGATAGGGCCTGGGAAGAATCCATAGTTTTTTAATAACAATTAAGGGGACGACCCAGTAATGTTTTCTTTTCACCTTCTTTAAACACATTGTAGGAAAAAGCACTTTTCAACATTTAGTTTTTTGAGGCAGGTCTTGATTCAAAACAAAAATCATTTTTTGTGGGCTGATATTTATGAGTGTGTACAATTTGTCATGGATCTAACATCTTCATATTTAAAAAAATGTTTTAAATTATTTGTTCAACAACTTGTTTATAGATGATTAACTGTAGTCCGTCTAGTTTCCATATTTTGCGTTGCTATATAATCCTATATTTATCTTGAGCTGATACACAAAGTTCAGAGTAAAGTATATTTGTAACTGCTTTATATGTATTATAACATAACATTTACGTTTCTTTTTATATAAGAACTAGACAATCTTGCATGTTAGCTTGTTCAGCCTTGGCTGAGGAATGAGCTCTACTGAGTGCCATTCAAGTAGCAAAGGTTTTTGCCTGATCCTTTATCTTGTACATATCCCATCGGACAAACAACAATGCATCTTCACTGCATACTTTTGGGAATGTATCGATTTGCACTGAGTGATAAAAGATTCAATCCCGGCACTGCACAAACTTACAAACGGTGCACAAAACATCAATCAGGCTTCTCCCAGAGCACTGGCTTTGGTACTTAATTGATCCTAGTTTGCACAAACTTTCATGTTTTGATGGATAATAAACACTTGTTTCTATCCCATCCAAAGTTGAAAGTCTCTATTAGCCAGTTGAAGAAGACAACAGCTCCTCTAGGTGCTAATGGACTCTCTAAAGGTCTTGTTGCCCCTGGTTGTAAAAGTAATAACCTGTGGAATCTGTCAAAAGAGCTCTCTCCCAGAGGTTGCCATGGTGCACTCTGTGGAGGAGAAGAAAAGGCAGGAAGGGGGTTAACAGAAATCTAAGAGAACATTTTCATTATAGCCCTCAGTGTTGGTTTCTATGTGCCTCTGGGATTTGGAGTAACAGATCTGGTGCCAGTGCTGTGGTCCCCCTGTGTTCCAATTATCAAACCCCTTTAGCTTCTATGCCCATGTGAGCAGCCCAAACACATCATATCTCATGAGTATCTGCTGTCATACAGCTGTAGGGCAGCGGAATGAAAGAATTACAAGTATTACAGAAATACCCTTACATTTATTTTCATTTCAGTAGCAGCTACTTGACCTTTTATGAGTAGACATTAATTAAAGCTTCTTGAATTGTGAAAGATTTTCTGTTTTGGTTTTCTCTCATTGTACCAGGGAGAAGTTGTCAGTGAAAAATGCTCTTTTTAACCTAACTTCCTGTGTGTGGAGCATTTTTCAGCGAAAGAAACTGATATTTCGCTGAAATCCGATAAGAAGCTTAAAGGCAGGTGGACGTTGGATTTACATTCACCAAAGTGTTCAAATGAATGTTGATCCATGTTGGATATGCATGATATGAATATTAAGCCATATTAACTTAGAGGGTGATGATGATATGTCACCACTCTTCACTTCATCTTCCTCTGCTGCTCCCTATGGGCCAAACAAAACGCTTATTGCAGGTTTAAAATCTCAACACATACACATCTGTTGGGTACAGTTTAGGAAACCGCTGCCCGTGGTGAGTAGTTTCGCTCCTGTTGTTGTTGTTTGTGATGATTGACCTGATGCACCTTTGCATGACTAGTCATACAGATACACCTCTTACTGATTTGTCACATCGAGAACCTTTTCACACCAAGGATGATTTCTCATGCAGAAAACTCAGACAGCAGTAAAATATAAATTGACTCCAGGTCTGCATTATAAATACTCGCACAGTGGCTGAAATCTGGGAGCAGTTTAGACGTTTGGCATAACACACTATGCATGTTCAAATCACTTGAATGGGACATTGTCAGATTAGCTCTTGGGGTTTAAATTCACATCCTCGCACATTTCCTATTGCAG